TTTGAAACTAGTTTAAAAGTTGACCGAAAAAAAGAATTTTTATATTATTTTATTTAAAAACAACCGCTTAAAAATTAAAAAAATAAGGATTAAAAGTAAGAAAGTTATAAATATTTAATTTTTAATAAACTGTTTCAAGATTCTTTTAACTTCTAAAGAACTTATAAAAATTAAATTTAAAAATTAATATTTTATTTAAATAATTTTTTAGATAATCTAAGGACTAAGTTTTCTTTTATTATCTTTAAATTTATATGAAGCAACTCAACAAAAATAAATACTTTATTCTTTTTCTTTTGTACATTAAATAAAGAATTTATAATTTTAATTTTATTATTTTAATATAAGAACTTTTCGAAATTAATTTTTTATTCTTTACGTTAAGTTTATATTTAAAATTTTTAACAGATAAATTTTTTAGTATCACATAATGCGTTACAAGAGGAAGAATATACTTGAGTTTATTTGCAATAATTGTATATAGTTTTAACTGCATAAAAGAATAATTGTTATACGTTTAACTAAGTTAAATTTGCGTTACATAGTGTTATACTTATAATGTTATAATTGTTAAATTACTTTAGCTAATTGTACGTTATAATACGTTATAGTTAATACGTTATAAGAGGAATGAATTTGTTATTACTGTACTGTTACTTTATGATGCAGTTATGTTTAATTAGTTTGAATTTTTTAACAGGAATTAAAAAACCGAACATTTGGCCCAGAAAATATGAAAGGAACAAACCGCTCTTGTGAAAAAAATTATGTGAAAATCATAATGAAAATGTTTTAATCAAAGCTTGATTAAAAAGCTAAAAATAATAATTATTTAGAAATAAAAAAATTCAAATTTCGACAACATTTTAGATGTAAATGTAAAGTTTTCTAATTACAAAATTTGTAAATAAAAATAAATACAAGTAGACCCCCCTATAACACGGCAGATAATTCCGTGTTATATGAATTCCATGTTTACGAGTCACTTAGATTTTACAAATACATGTGCCATTCACAGCCCGGCACATGTATTTGTAAAATCTAAGTGACTCATACAACATGGAATTCATATAACACGGAATTATCTACAGTGTTATAGGGGGTCTACTGTATTAAATCGGGAGAGTGGAGTGATGGAATCGAAAAAGCAACCCATGGACTATCACCAAGAGGGAAAGCCTTTCTGGATGACTTTGGAGGGAAACTGGCACCACCCACACCACACGTGAAGAAAATACGAAAACTCCATGTAGCTAGTAGGTGAGGCGCGAGTGTTCAGTAGTTTTAACCATTCCGCCACTGATGAGTACGGGATCGGAAGAGTACCCGTCTTCAAGATAGCTTAAAATACTAAATCTCACACAATGTTGCTTAAAATCTACAGACTTATCCTTCTAGAAAGTTTCAAAAAGGTAATGCAAGACAATTCTCAAACTAAGACAAAATCTACATATATCTTAGAGTTTAAAGACTTATTAACATCATCGTTCAAAAAGAATTGATGAATTGAATCAATGTACTGTACGTTGAGTTAATTCTAGAAGTTTGCTTATAAAGTAAAAAGAATATATTTTTTGTCAAAATAACTATAATTATAATTATATCTCTTCATCAATATTATTTATAGAAATGTTGGAAACTATATCCAAATATATAAGCATTATATTTAACCAAGAATATCTACAATTATCTAAAAAAAGTAGGATAATTTCAGAAAGCGCTACTATAGTCATAGCTTTTTAGAGACTGTTTTTTAAAAATCTATTTGATACTTTCTTATAATTTATTCTGTATAAAACAATGCTTAGAATTAAAAACTGTAAACAAAAAGGTTTTCTTTTGTATTTTATACATAGAGGACAAGGGACAGTAAATAAAAAGTCTTCAAAGATTTTGTTTTAAATACTATAAAAAATGATATCAGAAGCGATACTAGAGTTATATCTAGAAGCTATCGTGCTCTAGAAAGAAAATATTTGTTTTATTAAAATAATTAGAGTCATTATTGTCATTACCTCAGCGATATTAAATCTCAAAACACGTATCAAAATATAATCAACAATAATATCTTAAATTATACAATTTTTAAAGATTTTTAATGAAATCTTAAATTTAAAAACTTTACATTAAATTATTTTTATTTAAACTACGTCAAAAATCTGATGTCTTCAACTGTTAATTTGCTTTAAAACTAAGAAAAATACACTCTATTTTTAATTATAAATATCTTTTGAACCATAAAACGCATATAAAATATAATTATAAAGAATAATTTCCTTTCTTAATTTTTAAAAACATATCCTTATAAATGCATAAAAGTCTTCGTGTAATTTGTTTTATAGAAAATTATAATTAACATAATTAAAATTTATTTAAAAAATAAATAAAATTACATTTTAAAAATATAAAGATTTTATTAATTAAATTTAATTATATCCATTAATAATTAAATACCGTAGAATATCATACAATTATATGTTTTTCCAAAGAGTTTAATCAATGGAAGTGATGCGGGAGATGCGGATTATTAGAGGCAGTGGATGTTTGTTGTAGGTTGATGCTTGTTAATTAGTAGAAATGAAGTAGAAAGTTCCAAATAAAGGCAGCTTGAAACAAACTTACTTTTCAATTAATTGAGAACATAAAATAGGTCATCATATATATTTCAAGGATGATGTACTTCGTTCATAAAATAATTTAAAATATTTGATTAATTTTAATAATCTAAAATTTTTTCCTGAAAATAAAAAAATATATAAAGTTTTATGAGATTTTTTAAAGCTTTTTTTTGTATATTTACTGAATTTTTGATGCATATTTTATTTACCTAGAAGTGAAATGACATGTCCAAATTTTGTAAACATTTCGTTTTTAAAAATTAACAAAGCTGTACATTTTTAAATATCTTTCGTACCGGTTCTTTAATTTTTATGGTACAATGCTTAAAGATCTAACTTTTAATAAATAAAAAAATATAATATAAAAAATAAAGTTAAGAATTTAAAAAATCATTATAAAAAGTTTTTACTGTTTTGTTTTAAAGGTTAATGAAAATTTTTAATACGCTCGACGTGACGTTTAATATAATTTCTTCTCTATTTTCCAATTTTTAATAAAAATACTTTTAGTTTTTTTATTGATAAATTAACCGAAAATTCGAAAGAAAATTTTAAAAAATAATTCCGTTTAAAATGTTATTTATTAGATTGAAAACAGAAAAATTCATTAATTTAATATTCAACTACTGAACTACTCCATGACTGTTAAGATTTTTGTGAGTTTTTCGATTCGCACAGATTAAACTCGTGTTATTAAAGTTTTTCTTTCTATTTTTTTAATAAAATCTTATTACGCTTTTTTAGTTAACAGCTCTCCTTCAAATATCAAGAGGGCCCAAATAGCTTAAATTAATCTTTTAGCTTATTTTGCACGATTTATCTCCTACTAAAATTTGCATCTTCTAAGATTTTCGCTTTCTAAAGTTACTAAAATTTAAAATTTTAAAATCAGATTTTTAAAAGAAATTATTTATAAATGATTTAAAAGATAACATATTTTAGTTTTATAAACTTTTAGTAAGGACATTTTTAAAAACCTCGAAGAAAATCCAGCAAAACATCTAAGGAAATCAATGGCTACATGTTTCTTATCAACAAGAAAGGAAATTACTTGTACAAATCCTTAAACTCATTCATATATAATGTTGTTCTGGTGACAATTTGCTACTGACAAAAGAACTACATTTAACAATTCTCTTTAGAAAATAATCTCGTTATTCATTGATGATCATCTCAACAAGTACTTTTCCTCATCTAACGAATCTTTCTTCAACCCCAAATAACAACTTCCTTTAAAGGTTTTATGATTGTAATAATTGTTAAACATACTAAATTATTAATGGAAAACTTTAATCGTTTAAAAAACAAATTAAAGAATTTAATCGAAATAAGATTTAAAGTGAATTAAACTTATAATTTTACAACAAATTTCCTGATATCTTCAATGGGATTCTTCTTACTTAAAGAAGATCCATCAATGTCGAAATGTCTCTTAAAGCTAACATTTTAATACGTCAGATTGTTTACTATCGATTATTATTGCTTTATTCTGAAAATTCAGAAAAGGCTTCTAAGTTTTGTCATTTTTGATGAGTTATATTTTGTCATATATTGTCGCTAATGACATTGATTTAAGTGTAATTCAGCAATACGCAGACATGCGAAGAATTTCTTGTTATTTTCGGCTTTATTATGATTATTTACGCATTTCATTATTATAAATATATTAAAGAATAAAATGATTATTTTTATATACTTTTAAATCCTTATTTTTTTTAGATTTTTATTGATAAAATGTAAGCGGTATGTCAAGAAATCCGTTGAGTTTGTATCCGATAAAGTACGATCGATCGATATACAAAGTTTAGGAATAAATGGAAGAAATGGTATTTTCGTTTATCGAGCATTTCCCTGATATCATAAGATGATAAACTGCAACTTTATCATATTTTCTGATCGATTTTTTAAATACAGAATGACTTTTAAAATTATAAATTTATGTAGAATTAGCATACATAACGATCTTTTTTTTCCCAAAAGTCCAGATATTTGCAAGAAGTTTTAATACTTTGTAAAACTTTATTTAACGATAACCATGCATTCCTTAATAAAAATATATTTCTACAGTATTAAATTTTAAGAAAAATCATTAAAATTTGTGAGATTAATGAATTAAATGGCTTTTATTCTAATGGTCTTAACCTGATGATGAACTGTTGCAGATTATCGTTAACTTCATAATTGTTAATTACAGTTAATTGTAAATTAATAATTTACAATTTAATTAGATTAAAGAATTAATTAATTTTATTCTAACATACATTGTTTTTCTAACTGTATAATGTTTTTTTTTTCAATTTATATCTATAAAGAGATGTAATCAAGAGAGAAAACGTTCCTCATCCGCAAATAACTAAATTAGGAATCATAAATTAAAAATGTATATTTTAATGTTTATAATTATCACAATATCTATTTATTTTAATATAAAATACAAAAAACATATGCTCATTTTATTCATTTTCTGCAATATTTTTTAAAAAAATTGTGAGGTTTTTTCCTAATGAAACCCTCTCAAAAATAATTAATTTTATTTATTTTGAAGATATTTTTAAGGTTAATAAACTTATAAACTTATTAAACAAGTTTAAAAATTAAGTTTTAAAGGTTTCAAATTATTTATATAAAAATTATATTAAAAATTGTGAAACTAATTACAAAATTCTGCTAAAATATTGACAAAAAATTTGACCGAATTTCAATTTAATAACTAAAATTTCAATTAAATTTCGACTGGATGGAGACAATTTCAGTTAATAACTTAAGTTTAAACATTAATTTTTCGACTATTTTAATTAGGAAAGAACGATTACACGCGAATTTACGATTAAAAAAATATTAAATAACAGCTTTATATTATCAGTTGTATTAATTATTATATAATATATAATTTATAAAAAAATATATTAAGCGAAAAATACTTAAAACTTACTTATCATTCGAACGTTTGGCAAAAATTTCGTAGCCACATCGACAGCCTCCTATTTTTCCACTGTGGCCAGTTTTCTTGCACAACGTCTCACAATTTAAAGTTTTGGCAAAGAATAGGTCCATACTGACCAAAGCCAAAATAATAAATACGAGATAAAAACTCGATATTTTTGTGTTCATGTCTGAAGCCGTTTATCAATAGCTTGTGAACATTAGCAACAGTTTGCGCTTTATATATATAAGGGAAAAAGTTACGATCGCAACAAAGTGTGAATTGCACGATGACGTCGATGAGTTGAGCCAATAAGAAAGCTCGTTTGATATACGTGGGAGTGACTGTTACCATTTTATTAACTGTTTACCTTTACTATTCTAGACATTATTCGAGATAAAGCACCGAGAAGAAAGAGGATTTGTGGAAATTTATACTTAAAAACTATTTAATATTTAAAACTGTTAAAAAAAAATAACCAATTTTATAATCTAATTTACCGTTTAAAATTGATGGTGTCGTCAGTAGAACGAAGCGTGCAACAACTCTCTACCTTCTTTTCTGTGCAAGTGCAACGCTTACTCATTTGGTTGCTTTGGATTAAATTATGTAAATTATATTAAAAACATCATTAAAATTTTCTTTTATTTCAATTAAATGAACTTGAAAATACAAGAGAACTTACTTATTTGATAATGAATATTTTACTTTAGGTAGAATATCTATTTGTGGACAACAAAGTGGATCTTGCGGTCTACGAAAGCAATTGCAGTATAAATCAAAGTCCTCGCTTAAGAATAAAAACAAAAATAATGTTATTTAATTAAATACGTCTTATCTGAAACTAATTTAGTTACTAAATTAATGAAAGAAGCGAATTTTAAGAAGATTATAGCATCTTAAAATATCGAAAGTAAAACGATTTGAATTGAAAATGTTAGCTTTTGATCTAAAAAACCTCATGAAAATTAATGAAATTTCTTACATTTATAACCTTTTTTTTAATNGGCAAAAATTTCGTAGCCACATCGACAGCCTCCTATTTTTCCACTGTGGCCAGTTTTCTTGCACAACGTCTCACAATTTAAAGTTTTGGCAAAGAATAGGTCCATACTGACCAAAGCCAAAATAATAAATACGAGATAAAAACTCGATATTTTTGTGTTCATGTCTGAAGCCGTTTATCAATAGCTTGTGAACATTAGCAACAGTTTGCGCTTTATATATATAAGGGAAAAAGTTACGATCGCAACAAAGTGTGAATTGCACGATGACGTCGATGAGTTGAGCCAATAAGAAAGCTCGTTTGATATACGTGGGAGTGACTGTTACCATTTTATTAACTGTTTACCTTTACTATTCTAGACATTATTCGAGATAAAGCACCGAGAAGAAAGAGGATTTGTGGAAATTTATACTTAAAAACTATTTAATATTTAAAACTGTTAAAAAAAATTAGCTATTTTTATAATCTAATTTACCGTTTAAAATTGATGGTGTCGTCAGTAGAACGAAGCGTGCAACAACTCTCTACCTTCTTTTCTGTGCAAGTGCAACGCTTACTCATTTGGTTGCTTTGGATTAAATTATGTAAATTATATTAAAAACATCATTAAAATTTTCTTTTATTTCAATTAAATGAACTTGAAAATACAAGAGAACTTACTTATTTGATAATGAATATTTTACTTTAGGTAGAATATCTATTTGTGGACAACAAAGTGGATCTTGCGGTCTACGAAAGCAATTGCAGTATAAATCAAAGTCCTCGCTTAAGAATAAAAACAAAAATAATGTTATTTAATTAAATACGTCTTATCTGAAACTAATTTAGTTACTAAATTAATGAAAGAAGCGAATTTTAAGAAGATTATAGCATCTTAAAATATCGAAAGTAAAACGATTTGAATTGAAAATGTTAGCTTTTGATCTAAAAAACCTCATGAAAATTAATGAAATTTCTTACATTTATAACCTTTTTTTTAATCTTTATATTTAAACATATTAAAAATATTAAAATGAGAATAAATTAATTAATTTTTAAGTATAATACAGTAAAATTTTTGCATATATTTATTATTCTAGATTTTATAAAAAATATAGAAAAATATATAAAATAATAAATAAAATTTTTAATTATTGAAACATTTATCTCATTCTGAAGTTAAAATTTATAAGTTGTTTTCTAAAAATATATTAAAATAAAACCCAATTTTACAACTTTGAATATTATGATGTTTAATAATAGATTTATATATAAAAATCTCACCGAGAAGCTCTTTTATGAAATGCCATATAAGAACAGTAACAACCTCCAACTTTTCCTAAATTACCCATCACTTTGCATACTGTTTTACAATCAGTTTTGATCTGAGATTCAACTTGATGCTGAAGGAAGAAGAGCGAGAAAAGTATCAGCATCTGTTGAAAGGACTCCATGATACGGATGAGAAGAGATGATCTGATAAGAATTCGACTCAATATTTATAGTATTTTTGCAAAGCAATTGCAAGTGATTTGTCAATTAGTTTGTGTAGCAATTCCTTCTCTAAATAGGATTTATATTCTTTGGAATTTATCCCAAGAAAATAAAATATAATTTAACAACAAATAAGATTTTATTTTAGTACAAATAGAATANAAAACGAAAACCATATAAAGAGTTTGGTAATTTCAGTTACTATTGTCACGTTTATCGTGATATTCGAACGGTACGAAATGGCACAATTTGATTGGTCAAGTAGACACTAATTGAAAATATGATACCTTAAATTTTTTCAAATATTACCTATAAGAAACTTACATTTGCAGCCGAATATCAAATGGTCATCTGACATTTGATAACTTTTAATAAATGAACATAAATTTAAAGTCAATTTTCAATAAACATCTAAAAGAAAATCGAGAAAAAGTCATAAAATACGAATTTTAATGAAGTAATATAGCGCAGAAGAGTTAAAAATTGCAATATCCATAAAGACAAAGCGGAGAAAAAAGAAAAATTTTCCTGCGATTATTTTTTATTTGTATTTAAAAAAAATTGCAAATTTTATACAAAATATAACTTTTTAAATTTTATTTTAGAATTTTCTTAGATTTTATTGTTATTTATTTAAAATCAATTGATGAAAAGAAAGTAGAAAACTTGTTATATTTAGTATTTAAAATTATTAAATTTAATAAAAATAAAAATAAAATTTATTTACTGTTTACTTCAACATTTTTTTAAAGCATTTTATTAAAAATTATTAAAAATGCTAAAAATATTTATTTTTACATTAATACTTTGAATATTGAAGTAACTTTATCATGTTTTAAATGATTTGATTTTTAAAATTATAATTAAGAATATTTTTTATACATTTACATTTTTTAAATATAATTTTTTAAATTAATTTATTTTTCATTGGAGGTATTTTCAGTTTAAATGTTAATTTTGTTATCATTAAAACGTAATTTTTTAATGGATTTTATTTTTAATTTTATTTTTAATAGATAAAATCTTTAAAAAAGTTTTATTATTGATTAAAATTTATATGTAATTTGATATTAACTAAATTTTTAAAATTATTAAATCTGCACTTTGAAAATGGGGAAAAAATTACATAAAATTATATTAAAAAATTAAAAAGTTTAAAAAAACAAAAAACGCGGCACAATTTAAGAGACCATTTTAATTATTTATAATTATTAAAAATTCATTAAAGAATTATTATATTTTTGTCTATTATGTTCTGATATTTTATAATTCATCATTTAAAAAAATACAGTACTGTACAGTACTGTAAAACCTGTATAATTTTTATCAATTAATTTTATATAGTTGGTTGTCTACAATTTTTATACAGGGGATATACAATAATATTTTTCGACGTGAATTAAGTTGCACTTTGGGTATATTTTACTTTTAATATTATTATTAAAAATATTATTAAAAGTAAAATATATTTCAACATGCAACTTTACAATACTACTAATAATTTCTATTTAAAATAAAAATAAATCAAGGATCCAATAATCACTTGATTTTTGATTTATTTTTATTTTCAATAGTAATTGTTTTTTTAGCAATATTAATTTCTATCGTCAGACTGATGAGGAGCATAGCCCAAAATGCATTTTTGACAAACCAAAAGATAATAAAAGTATTTCAAAAACAGTGAAAAACTTGGCTTCTTCTTTGATTTGATCTGGCAAAAAGTATCACAATATTTGTATATATATTCGTTATATATTTAAGGCATGAATAGGATCTTAATACTTACTGATAAAATACAAATAATCCTAAATATTGTTTCATATTAGTTTAATGTCTAATCTTTGTAATTATGAAAAATGAATTTAAATTTAATTTGAACCATTCCAAATTCAACCCAAAACACCACCTTCCGCTATATCTTTTTATTATTATCTGGTTGTGATAATCATCTATCAGATATCTTATTATAACTTCTGAATAAATTATAACTAATGATCAGCATCACGATTATGATGATGATCATTAATTATTGTAACTTTTGAATAAATATTGATTTTTATTACAGGTAATAAAAACGCACAAAGTCCACCAATAATAATGAAATTAAAATCGATTTAATATCAGCAAAACTGTTCAATTTAAAAAAATAATAATCTTAAATTATCGAATGATGTTTGCAGAATCATAAATGAAGGTATTTAAACGATCATTTAGCCGCTTATTTTAGGGATACATTTTACAAAGCAAGACAGACAGTTGAATAAAAAAGGAAAAGTTTCTCACAAGTAAACTCCCAACGGTACCATTTATTTGCGACAATATGAAAATTGTAAAACTATACGGTTAACTTGATTTCTGATGATAATATCTATGAATAGATTGCTATTACAGTATATAAAGTACAGTATCTCTATACTTAATAAGTATAGAGATACTGTACTTTCCTTGAATTTGAAAAAAAAATACTTTGCTACTTTGATAGTAGACAAAATCTTAAGTATGTGTATGTTACTGATGGCTTTAATATCGATCTATTGAAGCAAAACTCTATTTAGTTTACACATATGTACAATTTTTGTATTCAACCTAATTTGACAATTGCAGCGAACGTTCTTGTTCCCAGAGTCAGATTCTCGGTCTATGTTAGACTACGTTCTAAATAATCCCGAGATCCAGTCTAAGGTACTGCCAACACCAATATCTGGTCGTCTTCCTATTTTGATTCTTGCTCCTGATAAAAACTCGTAAATGGAGGAGAATTTCATAAAAGTTACTAGACGTATAATTAAAAAGGGTTTACTCCTTTATTAATTATGTTTTGTAATAAGGGTAATGCCTTGTCAGCATCTTTCTCTTGAAACTATTTTGCAAGAGCTAGATATAGTTCCAGAATATTTTTATGACATACTATTGATAAGTATAAATAAGTATTGTAAGTTACTGCCGTCAACAACTATTCGTAATAAATTTGTCGTTCTCAAATGGAAAATTTCCTCAATGTTTTAAGAACAACATAGTTTATCCTTTATAAGAGTGGTTGAAAAGAGTAGTTACAAATTATCGGCCAATTTTCCCAATTTTAAACGTAGCTAAGATTTTCGAAATTTTTTTTTATTGTCGTCGATTAGCGAATTTTGTTCATAAGTTTAATCTTATAAATTGTAATTAATTTGGTTTTAAAGCAATTATCTACAATTGATGCTTTAACTCTGTACATTTATCACTTGATATCATCTTTGGATAATGCTGAAATGTTTGTTACAGTAATTGTAATTTACAGACATATCAAATGCCTTTGACTCTATTAATTTAAATTTTTTAAAGAATAAACTAATATGTCTTTGGTATAAGAAAGTGTTCCTTGGATTGATTATTGGACTATCTCCGAAATCGCATTCACGCCTTAAAGATTGATGGTGCTGTCTCCAAATTTTTTACACATCGCATATTGTTATTCCCGAAGGATCAGTGCTGGGACCTTTGCTATTCAACTTTTTCATTAATGATGTTTTCAATCTTCAAGGCAGTCTTTACTTTTGTACATGGATGATATTATTCTGTCTTCTTTGGAAAGGATAAAAGTGCGGTGAAAGATAGTTTAGGTTCAATAGTCTAAGTAACATACTTGGACTATTGAACCTATATTTTAAAGTGAACAAACCTACGATAAAAAGGAATAAAACTAATTTTATAGTTTTTTCAAATAAAATTAACAAAGAATACTCTGAAGATTTTAATTTGGTTATTGATAATTAAAATATAAAAGAAGTTGCACATATAAAATATCTTGAATTACATGTAGACCAAAGTTTAACTTGGTCCACTCGTATGAACTATTAAGTTGAGTCGTTTTCTTTGTTTCTAGATGCGGTAAACAATCTTAAATTTTATAGAGTCCTGTGTTTCAAAAAACCTTTGTAAGATTATACTAGAACCTGAACTGAGTTACAGTGTTAATATTTATGATAATGCCCACAATAGGTTTTACATAGATTTCATATGGCTCAAAATAAATTTTTAAGGGTACTCTTGGGAATGGATGCTTATTCTTCGGTAACTCATTTCTATCCTCTAAAAGATATTAACTAGAAAAAAATTAACACAATAAAATTACCGTATATCGAGAAATTTGATATAGTGATAAAAAAAAACAAAAACATTTTATAAATGATTTAGCTTAATTATGTTTACGTATATCTATAAGTCCAATTATTTAAGACGATGTTTTTAATTGTTTTTTAAATTACTATACCAATTTTAATTACTTTTTTGTCATTTTTTTATAGAACTGTTTATTATGTAAATTGTTAAAAATATTTCTTGGTTTTTATTTGTTGATTTTATACAAATTATTCACTGTACAAGTAACCCCCGTATAACACGGGAGTTACGTTCCAAAAAATTGCCGTGTTATGTGAATCCGTGTTATACGAAACAAAGAATTACAGTAGTGTGAAAAGGAGGGTTAGGTTCCAAAAATTAAAAAACATGCTGTTAAATCCTTATTTAAATCGGATTTATTATTCTTTTTTTTATAAGTAAAATACTTATTTATTATTTAAGTAAATATTTTACCAGAGTATTATTCATCCTATATGATGATCTCAGCATGAGCATCATCAACTGGTAACAGTTTCTGGGTGCGTTCGTTAATAGCGGTCGCTCTGCAACGGGAGTGCGCTGCTATTTGTAGGCATTTTGAACGACGGTGAACGAAAGATGACGGCGCACAGTGGGGCCAAATACCAAAAAGCTGGCCAAAAGTCAAAAGCGTTATCAATTTGGCTGAAAGTCAGTATTCGAGTGTTTTTGGGATCGCTGATTACGAATCCGAAGTCAAAATTTGAAATAAAAACAAAATGACGGATTTAACACGAACCACTTTTATAGAAAAAGTACAAAATAAATTCATATATTGTTTAATACGATAAAACATACAATCAGTTGATTAAAAGTTAATGCAGCGTCATC